AAAAAAAAAAATGATGTCAATAATATAATTTTCTATGAGAAAATTTAAAACCTATAACATGGCAGTATATGACATTGTATAAACAAAAAATGACCACAAAATAGCAGCAAAACACAATGACAAAGATACAGAAAAGCAATGTTAATTCTTTTTTTTTTTTTCAATTCATGCTGGGAATTTATCCATAGCAGCTCAACAGAAAATGTGGGAGCATCCGCTCCTTTTTTTCTCCTTTTTAAAAACTTTTCTTTTTTTTTTTCCTTTTTTCTTTTTTTACAATCAACACCTTAGCGGCAGTTTCTCACATACATTTTGCCATCACATTCTCCTCAAGCATCAACTTCAACAGCTATGTCCACGTCCCTTCAGCTACCTTCTACAATAATAAAAGATACATAGCCAAGATGTGCAAATTTTCTATTTGTAGCTAAATTTAAAAAAAAAAAAAAGGAAGGGGAAATACACTGGATTAAGATCTTTTTTTTTTCAAGTACACCAATTGTACAGTTTTAACTATGGTCCTTTCTCATGGTTAATGCTATTTTGAAAATATCTGGGCCAAATGTGTTACTGTCTTAAAATGTCCTAAATTCTTAGGAAGATGAACTTAACTGCAATATTGAGGGTAAAAAGAAAATTCTTATTTTGTTAGACTCAACGGGGCGATTTATTTTACAAATTATACTGGCCTTTCTGAACATCCTCTGCAATAAATATTCCTTTTAGCCTCAACTATAAATTATACATTTTAGTGTTTAAAAGCCTTCAGTTGTACAACATCTAGAGACCACTCTCAAAATATGCGTTCTATAGGTAAACCTTTCAGGCCCCTAAATTTATATTAACAAAATGAATTGGCACCAAAAAAAAAAAAAAAGACCAAAAAACACACCTTTCCTCAACACCATAGTTAAATGCACTTGCTTTGCAATTCCAAGTTTGCACACAAGCACTTTATATATATATATATATTTATATATATATTTATATATATAATTTCCAAACCATTCCATTTGAAGAAAAAAATTCCCACACACAAAAAAGGAAGTATTTCCTATACCTAATGAACTGAAAGTGCTTTGAAATGGAATGGTTTTACAACTTATTTTTTTTAAGAGATAAGCTGTGGATTCAACCTGGACATAAGTAGGCTGTGTATCTTTTGGGTTAAAACTAGTATGTTTTATGTATACACAGGTAACTATAAAAAATAGGAAGGTTACAAAAATATATTATGTCACTATTGCAATTTCTCTTTATTGTTGGAACGTATGTTAACGCCTTTCTCCCGCCATGCTAAGGTGGAACTCTAGAAGGCTTATGCACAGGCAATCCACAGGCAGAGAAGATTAACATATAATAATGATGTATGCTAACATATACTAATGTAAAGATTACATTAACCATTTATAAGGTGAAGAGGCTAAACCTAAGAGAATAAAATAAACATTTACAGATGACTTATAAAGTGACTAAATGCATAAGCAAGCAAGATAGAGAAAAGCCTAGAACTGCATTAAAGCTATGCTTTTTAAAAGGGAAAACGCACACACAAACCCAGAACACAGAATCTATCTAAAAACACCCTCTTCTACTTTAAAAATGGTTGGCTTTTTAATATGCAAGAAACAAATCTAATACTCCCCTGGAGACATTGTGTGTTGCTTGTAATGCCTAGTCTGTAACATACATGCATACATACACACACATACGTATGCAGTACAAGTCCCTAGAGAGATCATGCAGATACTATTTTATTTTCTTTTTAAGACAGCTGGGGAATTAGGGAGGGTGAGTTGCCTGCTAAACTGATAAAGGGAAGGAAGGAATAGCAAGGAAAAAAGAATGAATAACATTTTCCCTTCTGGTATAAAAAGTTCTGGAGAAAAGGTTTCTGGGGAGAAGATCTTGATGCCAATTCCTTCTCAGATGCCCTTTTGTCATTTGCTGGAACAGCCAAGTAAATCCAATCACTGAAGTCCTCCTTAAATATTCACATCTCTAACATCAGTGGGTGTGCAGGAAAGATCAGCTTCCTCTTCAACAGTCTTTGTTTCTGAAGATATGTTGTGTTGTTGTGCCTGGCGAAGACTAGATTCAAGGAGAGATTCAATCTGTTCTTGGCAGGCTCGTAAACAATCCTGTAGATGTTTAAGAGAAAGGGACAGGGGAGGGACAATAAAATTTTCTTTAGCAAATAAAGGGAACTATCATATTCTTCCAAACAAAGGGCATGTACCATGGCTTCCAGCCACGTCATGGGATTTTTCCTCACTGTCTTCTGTTAGCGAGGAAAGAGGAATTCATTCCATTGGCAAATGCCATCCTGGCATCAAACAATCCCAAACTATTCTCCTAACTCAAAAGCCCAGCTCATGTGATAGACTTTCACTGGAGGCAGTTTTCAATAGTTGTTGATGTTTATTAGCTTTCTTCAAAAACTGTATTTGGACCTACTGGTTGAAGGTGGTACATAAAAGTACATGCATAGTCAGTCACCCTCCCTCCCTCCCTCTACATAAAAGTGCAGGATATTTGACCATAGGGAAAGATCAGCCACATGTATGATTTGGAGACACTGACTCATTAGGCCGAAGACAGAAATGTTAAGCCATCTGTTTAATCAGCAGACCTCACAAGCAACTCCAGACAATTTCTTGCCACCACTCTAAATAAAGAAACAATGGCTGCCTTCATTGCAAAATTGTTAACTTCCTATCTTGAATAAAGAAGTCTATCTGTAGTGTTTTTTTCCTGTGTAAATCAAAAATATTAGAGAGCAGCATGGGCAGGTTTCATGCTTCCAGATTTATCATTAAAAAACCCCAAACAAACAAATTAAAACACAGCCCTGAAGCCAAGAAAAAAAAAAAAAAAAAAAAAGGGGGTGAGTGGGTGGGGTGGGGCTGCGACCCAGTAGGAACCAATGTAAAATGTCGAGATCATTACCTTTATGGGTCTAAGCCATTGAGATCGTTTCTATCCCAATGTAAAAATTTATGACAGAGTATTTTAAACCAGACATACAATAACTTAATTTATAAAGAAGAAAAAGGGCTTTTCCTGCAATTGATAAAAATAAAAAATTAAGAATCAGAAACTTTCAGCAATCTATTCCAGATCATTCTCTGCAGCCACCTGCAGATCCAAATTCATCCTGCTGCTCACTGTAATGGAGCAAAACTGCCAAGCAATAAGAAAATTACTTCAAACGTGAGTGAATGCCAACACAATCCTGAATGAAAATTAATCTAACAATAACCATCCTGAAGATACCTGCAGGTACTCCAAAACCTTCTTTCTGATTCAGAAGTAGTACTCAAGCGAGTTCATCTGAACAATTGTGGCTAAGAATGTGCATATATATATGTTAGAAATTAAATGACAAATTTTCTTTTTTAATCCCTGTTGCTTTACAGAGCAACACAGTTGATTTCCAACTGTAGGAAAACAAAGAGCACAAGAACTTGAAACTCCAAAGCTAACAGATCAAACAATTATGTGAGTGTAGGCATTAATAACAGGGGATCAATTTGTAACTTCATTCTAAAAATAAGTTTCTTAATTCTGAAGATACTGTCTAGTGCCCCAGTGCATTTTATACTGAGAACAAGGTACTACAGGTAGTCCTCGGTTATTAACTGCCTTGTTTAGCAACCATTCACAGTTATGACAGTGATGAAAAAGTAACTTGTGACCAATGTTTGCATTTATGACCTTTGCAGGTCTGTAAAGCAAAGGAAAGCTGAAGTAAGATTGTAAACACAGTCATGGTTTCACTTAATGACTGCTTCACTTAACAGCCAAGTTGCCAGTCCCAATTGTGGTCGCTAAATGAGGACTACTTGTACTGTGACTTCAAAGCCATCTCCCAATCCAATATACTTCAGATATGTTGGGTTACAATGCCTGATATCCCCCAAAAGCATGGGGAAGAATCACGACTGCTGAAGATGATGGATGCTATAGGCCTGGGAAGCCAAACTGAGATTCAGGGGCACCAATGGGCCTATAGAACATCTCCATTGGTGTCTATTTCCCCACCTGATTCTCAATATTTAAAAATTCCTTCATTAAAAAACAAAACAAAACAGAACACTTGAATGCTCCAGAACACGACAACAGCCTTCAGTTTCACTTTTCCTTCCAAAAATGCCTCTGGGCTTCAAATGGAGGCCAGAACCTTGATAAGTGGCTGCAGCCCAATGGGGTTTTTTTTGTAAGCATGTCCAACAAAAGTAAACAGGAGTGGTAGAGAAGCAGCAGCAAATGGCACTTACTTATGTCTCTCACAGCAGTTATTCTGTCAGACTGGGCAATGCCCCCCCCCCTCCAGCAGCCATTTGGTGAGACTGCCTACAACCTACCATCAGGATTTCAAATGTGTTCACCACAACAAGGTGCTTGGAAATGCCTATTACAGAAAAATGCAATTGGAGGGTATCAGGCAGGCTTTTTATAAGATATATTGATAAAACAATAAGCAGGAAGAGCAAGTGTCTTCCTCAAAGAATCATCAATGTATTTCAGTGCATACATTTGATGGCATTAGTTGTTTCCTTGTTTCTGCAGCAGATCTGGGACTTCTCTGATAGAAACAGGCATTATCAGTTAGAAATTAAACACAGAAAAAATCCACCGATACGCATATTCATGTGTGCTGGTGCAACACCTTTCTTGGTACACAGCCACTGTGGTAATAGCTACCTTAAATGCACAAAACAAACAATCCCACAGTAGTTTGCTGAAGTTCCCTGGCCCCCTGTTTACTCCTGTCTCTAACAAACATTGTAAAAGCTTTTCTCAACATGTTTAACTCTGTGCATTAAGAACTTTGAAGTTTTCTTTTGGGATTGCCTTTTCTGATTTAACCTATGACATGCACTAGCCCTTGTGGCGAACCCAGTCTTCCATGATAAATTGCCGTCAAAAGTGTTAGGATGTGCATGACTGAAAATGAATGTTGCTCTCCTGAGATGGTGACCTGCCTGCTGTTTTCTTTCTTTTCTGTTTCAGTTCTGCCTTCAGAGGCTTCTTGGGTGATCTACCAGCTTTTCACTGATTCTACTGCCACAAGAACCTTCTCTACCACATAGCATTGGGATAAAATAAGATTAAAAATCCAAGCTTACAATTCCCTGCAAGGCTCTTCTAAGAGAGAGGGAGGTTAATCCTACCTCTAAGCAGATCAGACCATCAGTTACAGCTCACTGAAAACAAATAACCCTTGACCTTTACTGATTTAAACTCTAGTGTAATATTTCCTCTTGACAGAGACTCAGTATTTTAACTAGCAAAAAGAAACACTCCATGTCTTAAAGTCATTATGCCACAGATAGTTTCTCTGCTCTTTGCTTTTCCCAATGAAGACAGGAGGATGGGATATCCATTATATGAAATAAGTTTTTTCATCATAAATATCCCTCTTTAAATATCCAGAAGTTTTATCTCAAAAAGAAATGTAAAGAACAGACTTCCACCATATTTTTCCTCTCCTCTCCTCTCCCCCTCCCTACACTTCTTTCAGTTTCAGAAAGTCTGGGAAAGTTCTGAGGTTGCCTCAACCGTAACTATATGGCATATTCAGCAATTCCATACGGGGAAAACAGGATACATATTTCTCTCATGGTTCTGTTCCTGACTAATCAAGTGTGAAATGTTATCTTCCTAAGTTCTCTGTTGGAATTCAGTAGACTGTCTAAGATGAATACATAACCATATGATTGACAATGAAAAAAATACCCCAAACCTAAAGAACAGCTGCAAACTATAAGTAAAATAATAGGGTGTCCAAGGCCTGTAACTTTCATAGTGTGTTTTACAGCTCAATACACAATCAGGGAGCAAACTGTCCCTTTTTGGTTCTACTCTTGGTAGTAGAACTAGAAATCATTTCTATCCCACTGCACTTCCAGGAAGCACTCCTACCTCCGCTTGAGCTTGGAAAGAAGAAACTATACAGGAAGTCCTTGTTTAATGATCCCTTGTTCAGCAACCATTTGAACTTGCGACACAGCTGAACAAGTGGTAGTTATGACCAATCCTTGAAGTTCTGGCTGTCAGTGCCTCCACAGTCACATGATTATGATCTGGGCACTCGGCACCTGGCTCATGATTATGATGCTGCACCATCCCATGGTCACATGACCACAATTTGTGACACTCTCTGCCAGCTTCCACAAGCAAAGTAAATGGGGAACCTGGCAGAAGTCAAAAGTCATGATCACATGAGGTCCTCCCTTAACAACTTTACCAACGGTAACCAGGGACTGCTGGAACTGCTGTTGCTAAGTGGCACAGTCATGTGATGTCATGCTTTACAACTGCACTGCTTAGCGACAGAAATTCCAGCCCCAATTACTGTTGTTAGGCAAGGACTACCTGTATTGTACAGGTGCCTATGATGTAGATAAATCCCAATCTTCCTTTGAAGTTTGAGTTGGGAATGAGAAGAAGATCATGATTAGTTTAAACCCTATTCCTTTTATTTATGGCTAAATCTGGATTTAACCCAATGAGGAATCTTGGAAGCAGCAAGCAAAATTCTTATTTTCTCCCAAGACTTCATGAAGTAGAACACAAGATACCCTCTGAAGTTTTCTGCGTATCAGAAAACATGGAGGGTAAGGGTGGCAGAAGGCCATATCTGAAGTAGAACACCCCACACGTTTTCTGTAATGCACAAATTCTGGTAAGGGGAATCTGTGCTGGGTACCTGGGGCAAAAAAAGAAAAAGCAGATGACAGAATGTAAATTTATGGCTGGTAGTGGTAAATTCAGAAATCATGTCTGTGGAATCCTGTTCTTGAGAAACCATTCCTGTATTATATTGGGTTGAGCCAGAGTTATATTAAGACAATAATTAATACTGTCAGTCACTGCTTCTGTTAATGAAGAAAGCAATATACTAGAATATACCGTTCTAACTGGAAACAGCTTTTATTGAAAGACTATAGTATTTTAATGAATTTCTAATTGCTAAGTATTTTATCTGGTAAATTGTATAAATGCTGTAGTGGAACAACAATCCTCTTTCATTAGGCTTTGGAGTTATAATATATTACAGTACTGCTACTGCATTATCAGCTCTGTTTATTATTTTTTACATGATTTTATTATTATCATGAGATGGGTGGTGTCT